GTGAGTCAGTTTACTAAGTAGTCTGCGGTGCATGGCTGGCTCACGTACCATATAGAGCAAAAGCAAGCAAGCAGACGAATCCGATGACCAGAACAGCAACGACATGGGCTGAGTGCCAAGCATACGATGTGCCACCCCATGCTGACAGAAAATCGGGTTAGCACTTTGCAAGAACCAAGTAAGAGCTGAAATGGAGACTCACAAAGGCCAAGCAGGACTAGGATCAATCCGCCGGCGTACAGGAGAAAGCCAATGTAGTCGAATTTCTTGAGACCATCGACGCGGCTCTCATTTCCGCGCTTGGCATCCCAGCCAGGAGGGAAGTAGAACAAAACCAGCAGAATGATAGACAGACCACAGGTGATGATGTTCAGGTAGTAGGTCCAGCGCCAGGAGCGGGCGGTGTTGGCGATGAACAGATCTGCAATCAGAGAACCGAACGCAGAGAATGGCAGCGTTGTGATGAAGATGCCGGCGTTGACAACCGGACGAGCACGGTTGGGGACCAGCTCAGCGATCACGAAGCTGAAAGTTAATTGTACTGCAGCAGCCAGACCGCAGAGGACACTGCCTCCGATGACGGTGGGAACGGTTTTGGCTGTTGCGCAGACTATGGCGCCGATGAGGCCGAGGAGTTGCCCTCCAATCAGGATGTATCGGCGACCAAATAGGTCTCCTAAGCGACCAACTAGTAGGAGGCCAACCTAAAGTGTGCTTAGCAAGTCTCTATACTTGGAAGGAGCATATTCTAACAAAAGGAGGATGCTCATACTCCGGAGATCAGTGTGAAAACGGTCGAGATCAAACTGTAGCTGGGGTCCGGCCCTGCAAGTAAAAGACAGTCAGTCAGAAACTACTGGCTGATAGTTCCAGGTAGTCCACCTTTAGAGGGGAGATCAACTTACCCAGGTCAGCATTGATAGCGCTCAAGCTGTTTACCTATTTGATAGTTAGCGACAGGCTTGCTGCAGTAATGAATGAAGGGACTGACTGGTAAGACATAGCCCAGGTAGAGACTGATGGCCATCAAACACACGGCAATGAGAGAGCCGACAAAGTTCTTACTGCAGTAGTATCCGGCCGGCAATTCATCTAAGTCGACAGGGGTGGCCGTTAGCTCACCGGAACTCTTTTGGTTCATTATCCTGCCTTTAGAAAAATCACTGGCGGAAGAGGATTTGCCAAAAATAACGAGGAAAGGAAGGTGACAGGGGATTAAAAGAAAAGCTGGTTAAAACGTGGGAAGACAAGTTGCGGATAAAGCAGCAGACGCCAGCGCAGAAATGCAGCCATGACGAATCGGAACGGAAACAACTGTCCTGGACTGGGTCCAGGACATCAAACCATCTGGAAAACGCCGATTCGAGAGGGGTGAAATTAGGGCACTTTGTGATCCCTGCCTAGTGCCTTCGTGGAGTCCGACGGTGTCACCGCGCTATATTAGTTGGACAAAGAGCATTTCCGTCCCTGGGGGCGGGTGGAGCACCTATTTTGTCCCTTACCAAATGGCCAGGGCCATTCTTGTTCAGATTGTGTCCAGACGATCTAACAATGCCCATGCATCGTGGTCACTCCTCACTCAGCCAACCAAAACCTCAAGACGGGTCGCTCGGAGAAATTCAATCCCTGCATCCTGCATCCTGCACCCAGTACTAGCCATGTATCTAAGAACATAAAATTTCGAAATACCCTCGCAGATGTAGAATCTCTGAGACTTTTCCGGGCTGCGACTCGTCTCGCCCTTCTTACGTTCTCGCCAGGCCGAATAGACACCCTTCCATGGACGTCGGGTGGAAGGAGGTGTCGTCGACCGACCCTCCAATCGACTTGAAGGCATCTCGAGTGCCGTCAATTATTGCCTGCAACACTGTTCTTCTTGCGATCGCGACCGCAGGACTTTCAGTCCGTCTGTTCGTCCGACTTCGCTACCTCTCAGGGCTAAACTTCGATGATCTGTTATGTGTGACCAGCTGGGTAGGCTTCCTGGCCCTGTTGAATTCGCTCATGCTCTCCCAAATATTGACACTAAGTTGCCCAAGGTCTTCACTTTTGTTCTGTGCTTTGTGTGTATCTGGAGTAAGCTGCCATGAATCGAATGCGCACACGAATGGATAAAGTTGACGCATTTCCTCCCACAGTGACCCGCTATGGCTACGGAAAGCACATTGCGACGATAAATAGCTCGGAGAAGCTGGAGATGTTTCTTAAGGTTTGAAATCCACTAAACGAACAACGAGACCGCTTTCATGCTGATCAATTTTCATTGATATATAGCTTGACTTTGTCAGCATGATTGCGTACCTTCTCGCCCTCGGCACCGTCAAGGTCTCATTCTGCCTCCTTTACCTGCAGATCTTCCCCGGAAAGGCGTTTCGAATTGCTTGCTGGAGCCTCGTGGGCCTCCTTGTCGCTGAAACAATCGAGGAAACATTTGTCGTGATCTTCCAATGCTCACCTATTCACAAGGCATGGGATGCTAGCGGCAACGTCAAAGGCCAATGTCTATCTCTGACGGCCTTCTACTACATCTCCTTCGGAATCCGCTTGGCTACTGATCTAGCGCTCTTCGCTCTCCCTCTTCCCAAAGTGATGCAATTGAATATGACATTAGGCAAACGAGCCGGACTGGTGATAATGTTTGGATTGGGTGTGCTGTATGCTGATTCCCCTACGCTGGAACCCACGTGGGAGCTACGAATAACCGCAATTTATAGGGTCTCTGTGACGAGTATAATTCGAGCGACGTACATAAGCAATTTTTCTGAGGACCACACCTGTGTGTTGCCCCTCCCTCTGGACCCTTGCGTGTGCTGCGGCTAATTACCCATTTACTACATGAATAGGGACACTTGTCAACACTCTCAATTGGTCTAGTGTCGAAGTGGCTGTGGCCATCTTCATCGCCTGCATCCCTTCTTTTAAATCGCTCATTAGCTTCCAATTTCCTGCTTTACAACGGCTACTCGGGCTTTCCAGCAAGGGCGACTCGACCGGTCGGTCGAAGATGTATGGGACATCGACGCGCCGGACCAATAATGGGCGATCCATTATTGGACACCAGAGTATCAAGCTGAATACTATGACGGGGCAGAGCCGGGCCGATGTTGAAGCTAGTCGCAATGGCTCAGAGGAGCGGATTATCGGAGCTCATGAAGGCATACACGTCACCACTGATGTGAGTGTAAATGAAAGTGATTGATATGTGGTATAGCTGGATTATTTCTCTACAGATTTTTTATATTAATCATAATGTCTATGAATTTGTGATCTCTGACTATCGGGTTCGTCCTTACCTGCAATGGACGGAACAATGTCGTGTGTGCGGACCAATTACTAAGTTAGCACACGCACCCATCGATCAATGTAACTAGCTCCAGTGGCACCATGCGTGACAGCGACCGAGTGTTAAAGTCGAGAAGCTATTGAATCTTAGCGCTGAGGTCGCCTTTAGGGCATGTGAGGTGGGCCCGTTCGGAAAGGTTTCCCTGAGAAGGGAAAAACCATCAACCATGCGAGTCGGATCCGCGGACGACTTCCGGGGAAGGTGGCCCTGGTGGAAAATATAATGTAATCCCTGGTGGGAGACCAAAGAGATATTGAATTAATACGATGGGCTGGCTGCTAGTCAGCTCTATAAAATCGGATTAAGATATTATTCAAGTAGGGTTTCCCAAGCCCTCTCAATGATAAGTTTGAAGCTTGTGAATCGACGGGTTGTTCTTCCCACTGATCCGCGGGACAAGCAATTTCAAGCTTAATATCGAACTGGTCCACTTAGCGTGGTGCTTTTAGCTTCCACGACCTCCGAGTCCAATAGAAACGCCCAGGATCAAGCCTCCTTTATTTGCTGAGGCAACGTGTATGCTGTCGGTTTTCTACCGGTGTCGCATATGCGTTGGCCAGAGTTACTACTTGGCTAGCCCAAGTACCACTGAGGCCGCAGAACAGGCTTCACTAAACCTGCTGTGTCTTGGTAAAGCGCCCCAGGGCGCTGTTTGCCCCTGTAGGTGTTGCATGAACATCGGAGATGATCAGCTCGAGAATGAAGGGGTGTTTTACCCGATTACTAGAAATCTGTCTTCCGCCAGCCACCCCCTTCCCCAAAATGATCAGAAAGAATAAACAACCGAATCCTTTGCTTCCCTAAACTATATCCAAGCCAAGTATGGTGGCCTTAGAGCGGGCTTGTCTCGGCCGATCATAAATCCCCGAGAAATCGCAGGAGCCAGTCGTGGGATGCCAAGCCACGAGGGCAGGGGAAGTCAAGTTGATTAAAGCTATTTAGTAACTGACACAAGCGTCTTGGCTCGTAGTCCATTCACCAAACCGTTCCCTCCCAAAGGCTGAAGCTGTATATATGAATAGCCCGCCTTCTCTCCGGCTTTCCCTTTTCTGGTAGTACCTGGTAAGACCTCATGTTCTTTGTATCAGATGTCATCTGTGCTCATCATTCCGCGCGTCAGAGGAAATTATCGACCCACCAAGCCCGCATTTTCTTTGTTCGCTCGAGGGACCATTCATGCTGAACGTGTCCGCTTCTGTAAGCTAAATTATAACCAATCGGAAACCCCATGTTCGCACCCGAGGGCCGTAGTGCAGTCGACGACAAAGTAAGCGAAAAGATCCCTGCTAACGCGATCCGTCTCATTCTAACACCACCAATGGACTAAGCCATTGTCACTCCATTGGGCCTTTACCACGCCGCGACATATCTCCCCGGAGCGTTTAGCGTGGCGGATTTTGGCCAACATGCGGTATCGCAGCGCCACGAGTCCGTTGTTTGTCCCCACCATGATGGCTTGACGCCAGTCCGCCGTTTCCCATAGGCACAGGGGAGGCAAGCTAACAAAAGAATTATCCGATTGGTCTGGACAGCAGTCTGATATCAACAGGAATGTGCACTGGACCAGGGTATCTGGGTAAATTGGGAGCCATCATGGTGTCCCCTGGAATCAGACCAGACCTTTTGTCCTTGGTCCATGGAGCTGTTTGCTGTCTCCCCGATGAGTCCTTCCCGAGACACAATCTAGGCCCCAGGTTACTCCTCTCGTTAGACTCATCATGAAGCAGTCCCAACCCTCTCAAGGACACCATGCCATCGTGTTCGGCTGTTCAGGCATCAACGGCTGGGCCCTAGTCAACCAGCTACTCACAAACTACCCAGCCCCAGGGACTTTCAGCAGAGTGACAGCGGTTGCGAACCGTGCATTCACAGCCGAGGAGGCACACTGGCCAACAGATGATCGTATCCAGATTGTCTCCGGCGTGGACCTCCTGGCGGGCGATGATGCAGCGCTGAAGAAGACCCTGGCGGAGAAGATTTCATCTGTCGATACGATCAGCCACGTGTATTATGCAGGTATGTAGACCGCTTCCTGATTGCATGCATGCATATCAAATTAGTGTGTCTAACCGTGTGGGTTTCAATATTTCTGCAGCATATCGTGCCAGCGATGTCCCCGCCGAAGAATGTCGATTGAATAAGGAGATGCTTCGAGCTGCTGTTCAGACGCTGGAGACTCTCTCGCCAAAATTGTCTTTTGTTACTCTCATTACTGGCACAAAGGCAAGTCACCTGCATATTAATATTATAAGCACATGATCTTTCACGTGTAAGAGGCTAACAACAACCATCACAACCAACAGGCATACGGCGTCTACCTCCTCGACAAATTCCCCTTCCGGAACCAAATACCCTTAAAAGAAGACCTCCCCCGCGTGCCAGCCGAATACGCCAAAGACCTCTTCTACTACCACGAAGTCGACCTGCTGCAGGAGCTCTGCATCGGAAAGACCTGGTCATGGTGTGAAGTCCGTCCGGACGTGATAGTACGTCGCCACCCCCTTCCACCACATCCCCTGCCACCCCCCCAGCACACTAACCGAAAACCCATGAAAAGGTCGGCCTCGCCCCCTTCGGCAATGCAAACTGCATGGCTCAAACAATGGGCATCTACCTCTCCCTCTACCGCGCCCTCGAAGGCCCCAACACCCGCGTTCCCTTCCCCGGCAACAACACAACCTGGACCCTCCAATCTACCGACTCCAACCAAGACATAATCGCGCGGTTCTGCATCCACGCTTCCCTCCAACCGCGCGAAAAGGTCCATACCCGAGCATTTAATATCGCGGACAGCGCACGCCCCGTCGCATGGTCCCAGCGATGGCCAATCCTGGCATCGTATTTCGGGTTGGAAGGTGTGGGGCCTGAGGAGGGTTCCTTGCACCCGACGGAGTACATGGATCGGAACTGGGAGAAACTGAGACAATTGTGTAGTGAGCGGGAAGGGGTGAAAGAGGAGGTGATTTATCGCAGTATGCATAATACAGGTGCCAGGATGGGGAGTCTGAGGTTGATGGATTTCGATCGCCCGTTTGATTTAGGGAGGGCGAGGGAGATTGGGTTTACTGAGGAGATGGATACGAGGACGTCGTGGTTTGGGGCATTTGAGAGGGTGAGAGGGATGGGAATTATGTTGTAGATAGACATTATTCTTTCCATCCTGGTCTGGTGGGGGTACTGGTCACTAGTGATAAATAAGTGTAAAGAGACTATAGGTAATGCCGTTGATGATGGTGTGTGATTGATTAGGTCACAGGCTATTATACAAAAGCTTAAATGTAATGCTTAGTTCATGATGAATGTACTAGCCAATCATAGATCGATTGATTGATGAAATGTATGACTCAAGGTTCAGTCATGCTTTCAATGGTGTCAGATGTCTAGTATACGGACTTCCGATGCCAACTAAAGTCTTTTCTTCAGTATATACCAAATAACTCGCAGCACTCACTAACAGCTATAGGAAACGACCGATACTGTTCCCAATACCACAGCAAGATTTCTATATGAATACAACCAGCAGACAAGCCTGAATCCACGTAAGAGACTCTTGACAATCTGTAGAAATCTTCTTACTAGAATCATAATGCCAGCCTATCATAAGTAGTAAGTTGAAGTTTTTGAATACCACATAATGTCACTACTCCTCTTTCTGGTACTACTATTGAGACTACTAGGCTATAACCAGTCACTCCTCTAACGCAGTCTGAGATATATATAGCAGGTATAGAGATTTGAGCCCATTCTAGTACTCAGTATTATGTCGCTTCAGTGTCAGTCATGGTGATTACAACTACACAACCCCGGACGCTAGCCAGTCTAAATGGAAAGGGGGGACTACAGCCAGTCATAGAGAAATAGTAATAGTATTGAAAGAGCACCAAGGCGAGGAGTTTGATATAAGACGGATTGAAACAGCTACATCGCCTTCACAGCCCCCCGCTTGTCAATTGTAACCCACATATCACGCCAGAATCCCACGCCTCCCTTGATCACAAAATGCGCGGAAGGTTTGCCAGCAATAGAGTGAAGCTTGAAATTGCGGAAAAGCTGTATCCCAATGAATCAGACAACGAACAAAATCAAAAACTTGTGAGTGATGGAATGGGGAGGCACAAACCTGCAAAGGACCCTTGAACAGCTCCATCATCGCAATATCCTTGCCCAAGCATACTCGCGTCCCGTAACCAAACGTAAACATATACTTGTTCATAAGCTTGGCGCGCTCCGCGTCCAGCCAACGCTCTGGGTTGAACACATTCGCATCAGCGCCAAACACCTCCTGATCGCGGTGGACGATCCATGGGTTAGACGAGATCTCGGTGCCTGCGGGCGCGAACTGGCCATAAAGATCGATACCCGGTTCGGAGACATATCGAGGGAAGAGGTTTGGCGCGGAGGGGTTCAGGCGCAAGGTCTCGCGGACACACGCGGCATAGTAAGGTAAGTGCTCGACAATCTCTTGGTACTGGGCCATTGGACTGATGAGGCCCTTTCGGGCAGCATCATCGATCTCGGCCATCATGCGCTCGTACACTTCTGTGTGGGTCATGAGGTTATATACCAGCGCTTGAAAGACAGTTCCGGTGGTGTCGGCGCCAGCAAGAAGGACTAAGAGGACCTCTGCCCGAATGTACTCCATGTCTAGGGGCTTGCCCTCTTCGGTGCGGGCCTCGAGGAAGGTCTGGAGAAGATCGATCCGGCCGATGTCCTTCTTTTCTTCGAGATCGCGCAGGCGCTGGTCGATGAGTCGGTCGCGAAAGCGCATTAGGACTCCGATGCCCGAGTCATCCTGGGGAGTCGCAACTAGGTACTTCTTCATGAAGGTCGTCTTCATCCAGCTGGTGAAGGGGTGGAGACGCGCCAGAAGACCGAATGCTGGGAGGCCATCGTGAAAGCCTTGTACCAGACCGCCGACGTCTTGCCCTTGCTCGACAAAACCGAAGGGCGCACCGAAGCCGACCTCGCTGATAATGTCGTATGCCATATAGCTGGGGAGATGTTAGGAAGACCTGCGGGATGAAGTGGAGGGTCCAAGAATGGTACGGCACTCACACTGCCCACCATGAGAAGTCGAAACCAGCGCCCGTGCGGGCGAACCTCTCGTCGATTTTCTGTAGCCAATGCTCAATGTGGGCATCGAGGAGCGGCTCCATGCGCTTGACGTTGCTAAAGCTGTACTGTGCAGGTATCAGTCGAGTGGGCTCTGAAGAGGAATAGAGGGTCGAGTTGAGCGTACTGGGCCGGCAATGTGCTTCCGGAATGCCGCATGCGTCTTGTGAGAGCGCATGTTGAACAGAGACTCGGTCTCGCCGAAAGACCCGGTGATGTAGTGTCCCGTTTTGTCGGCATTGCGATGGTAGATGTCGGGGAGCTTCTTGGGGTCGCTGACAAGCAGGAGCGTGGGTGTGATGCGGACTACGGGGCCTGTAAACCTCTAAGTCAGGCTTGATTCCTTTCGCAATTTGTTATCCAGGTAGTACGATAATTTAGCGTACCGTATTTCTTGGTGAGATCGTATACTGTCTGCAGTTCAGTCTCGCGCAGATTATGCCATGCAATCCAGAGTCGGGTGACGCCGCCCCAGAATGGACCAGGAAATTTCGCCAACGGATGGAAAAAATGGTAATAAACGATCTGGTACACGAATTGAAGGACCACATAGGCGACCAGACCTAGGATCACGTTGATCGCCGTGACCTTGGAGAGGAGATCTTCACCCACACCCATTATTATTGTTGCTTTTGTAGTCGGCGAGCGGACAGATGACAACAAAATTCACTGGGAAGCGACCCCAAGCTCTTAAAACATGATCATCGACAGCCGTTGGAGGGGAGCTTTGGACTTAGGCCCGCCCTGGGTCCAGCACCGACATCAGGCTCCTCTCTCCTACGTAAATGTGGCCAGACGACGAATCAGTTAGCCTCGTAGTGGTACCACTGAAGAAGCGGTGGTGCGCCATCTAATCATGTACCGGGACTCGATCCGAGAAGAACACCATTGAGGCTACTGCTTTGGGAGGGTAGACAATATGACCGGAGTGTCGATCCAACCAGACTGGAGCCATTGACAAGCGTCACTCGAAGAACAACCCCCAGTGCCGACAGACGATGACCAGCCTAGTCCGTCAGAGCAGCGACAACGTATCTTAGTGGTGCGGGGACAGGGTGAAGAGTCATGAGCAGGGAAGAATGCGCGGCCGAGGGTTTAGGACCTCCAACGGCTCCTAGTGTCTCTGATGGAGTGGGCTTGCCGAGTCGCGATGAGCCATTATTGGCCGTAGTTAAGCTCTCGGGGAGCAGTTGACACTTGCCAGGCTCGAAGTTTGTCAGAGACTGCTACTGAAATAGCCATGTCCTGATATCAAGACCATGGAACCATTTCTAGTTTGATGAAAGGGACCATTCCTTCCGTGCCAGTTTGTTGAGTGCCGTCCTTGCCATATATACTTATCCCCAATCCATTCATCTTCTGTCCATCAATCAAACTATCGGGATACCACCGGATCCCACAAACAAAGAAAAACCCAAAAATTTCGTTGCTCGACGTGTTCGACAAAGTACTTTGTGCTAACAGCAATTAAATTGCGGTCCACTGGGGAAGGCGACGTGAGAGGCCAGATTCACCCACAGACATCCCCCTAGCAGGCCCTAACGGAGACTAACTCTGACGCCGGCCTGGAGCTGGGCCGCGATCGGCACTCCATCCATGGCTCCAGGAAAAATAAAATGATTACACCCTTTTGTCAGTAAGTTGCAGAGGAGGTGTCAAAACAGGTCCAGAACTGCAGAAGCAAGTATGGCAGGAAGGTTTCCAGGATTTCCAGGAGAAATGGTTGGCTTAGTGTCGGCTTGCCCATGGAGTCCTAGGCCGCACTAATGGCGCACTTCGTTATGTCTAAAGTCGGTCTTTTAGCCACAAGACACTATTGACTGCTTCTGCAACTGTCGGAATTTTTGAGAGACTGAGAATTAGGAATACCTTCAGCTGAGAATAGCAACATTGCGCCTGTTGATATATCACTTTTGATACCAATGTCGCTATGGGTGGCGGACTTGTACACGGCCTGTAGGGGCTGCTTTGACAGCTTGGATGGGAGGAGTAGCAAGGTCCTCCTATCTACTTACTAACCCACTTTCCATCCACCCATCTCACATGGAATTTCAACGTAGATTTTCACCGTTGAATCGACAGAAATTGGTGATTGCGACAGCTGGATCGGGAGCACGGCCGATAGCCCGAGGTCCGTACCCGAAGCCACTCACTAAAACCATTCCCCATCAATTTCATTCGCTCTTCGAACACCAGCATGAGTCAATGAACCAGCTGAGAAAAGAACTCCTTTCACCAAACCCACACCTGGTTAACTTGTACATAAGTTGGCTGCCTTGAAGAACCAAAAAAGTATTAAGGGGTGATTTTGGATCTATTGACCGAGCTACAGTGAATATTCAGTAGTACAGGCTTCCGCGTGCCAGGGCGACCAATAAAGAAATGCCCTACACTCCCCAGAAGGTCTCCCAAGCCACCAGGATTTGATCCTGCGCACATCGTCTTCGCAGACATTTGGAGGCACGACGCCCTTTACCCGGCGTAGACCACCTTTTTGAGCAGTGGACTCGCCGTCCAGGATTGTCTGGACGGGTCCATCCCCAGTGGAGTGGGTCAGCATTTGCGCTCAGGGCGACTATCAGTCAAGGCCCTAATCCGGTTGGAGCAAAGCCGGCAGCGATTCTCCTGCCTTTCAGACACCGGTCGTTTACGGTGCGAATAGTGCCGGAATCTACTTCCTTCCATTCCATCCAGTCCTCCCGTGTCTTGCAGACAGACATTATCCTGTCACATCGGTGCTGGTGGCGGCCTGACTTAACTGGCTGCCATCGTACATCTTGGAATGAGGTTGTCGCAACCACTGTTCATGTTAACACCGACTATTATTATGAGAACGTGGTGGCAATCTCGGCAACAAAAGTACAGATAATTAACCAAAAGTTTGATCCACTTCTTGCGAGCATCGGAATCTCCCCCGGAAATATGACCCATCTTCAGTGACGATCGTGCCCCAACTGCTATTCTTGTCGCCGATGACCACTCAGTAGACAGCGACTAACACCCTAGTGGCACCCCCGATTAGCCGTGGAGCGATAGGTTCAACGACACATTTTCTGTATCAGATTCGACAAGCGGAGTCGGCCAGTGCATCCGGACTCGATGCCCACTACTCCATGGCCCAAGATGTGGGCTACGAACCGTCACTGGAGTCCCCGATTCTTGGTCGCTACTCGCGCGAGACATTGCTTTTTCCTTCCGTTCTTCCAGAGTCGCTAGCCAACTCTTGGTACCGTCTGAAAATTTCCCTCACGGTTTTCCCTTTTTGGGAAACGCCATTGTCCACCAGACTCCAGTTTCTCCAACATGCGAGCTTGACCCGGACCGCTTGGGATCGTCCAAGAATGAGTCCCGGGGCCCTGCCAGGGGCATTCGATGCAGCGATGATCACGATGGCGCACATGCGCGAGATTGCCTCCCGTTAAATCGCAACTCAATCTTTAACCCCTCGGAAGTTCCCCTTCTAGAAATGACTGTCTTCTCTGTGTATGGTGTGTGTGTTGCATGGCGACTGCATCTGATGTGTTGCACTCGATAAATAGTTCTTGGACTTTCCCCATTTACTACCTCGCATTGTGCGCCCTATCCTCTTCTGTCCGTCTGGACTGTCATTATGGCAGCTACACAGGGTCCAGTTATTGCTGGTGTTGCGATCAGTTTCGCAATCCTCAGTTTCTTGACCATCTGTCTACGACTCTTTGCTCGAATCTATGTCTTGAAGCGAATGGGCTTGGATGATTGTAAGTCAATATTGTTCCGCCCTCCTTGGCTGCAGTCCGACTTGTGACTGACCTACTATTTCTCCTAGATTTGATTATCGGCGCCTGCGTAAGGGGATCGTTTCCGGTTCGATGCGATTGAGCTGACCTCTCACCCAGCTTCTATCATGGGCATTCACAGCGGTTACCATTGTCGGTAAGATTATTCCTCATATCCGCATGTGAGGACGGAGACTGACACTGTATAGCTGTCAAGCATGGTATGGGCCAGCACATGGTGGATGTGGATCAAAGTGGTCTCATCACATACTCTTTTGTACGTCACTTCAACTTCCACTTATGATATCGTTGCTGACGGCATGACCAGGCCGTCTGGTTGAGTTCGATGTTCTATCTGGCCGCCCTTGGCTTTGTCAAAACCTCCGTCTGCTGGTTCTACACCCGACTTGGTGACAAGCAACTCACGCGTATGTCTCTCGTCATGATGTGTGTTGTGGGTTGCCAAGCCACTTCATTCGTTCTGACAGCTGCGTTTCAATGCAATCCCATTGCCCGCGCCTGGAACACTAGCATTCCTGGCCGCTGCGTAACAATCAACGTCTTCTACCTCGCCAACGCAGCGCTGAACATTACGACCGATCTGCTCACCTACTCGCTGCCGATCCGGGTCATCTTGAAGCTACACATGCCAAAGAAACAGAAGTTGGCCCTCGGTGGTATCCTCTGTCTCGGTCTATTGTAAGTAGTACAATGTCTGCTACTTTTGAGGTGAAGCACGTGTTTCTTTGCTTACTCGCAATATCCAGCGCTTGCATCTCCTCCATAATCCGAATCACCTACATCCCCGCGATGCTCACCTCCAGCGACTCCACCTACGCCATCAGCGGCGCCATGTACTGGTCCGCCATCGAGATTAACGTCGGCATCTTGGCCTCCTCCATCCCGTCCTTCAAAGCCATTGCCTCTCGCTTCCTCCCTCGCTTGATCGGCGAGTACAGCTCGAACCGCGGCTACGGCGGATGGTCGAGCAGCAACATGAGAAAAGAGGAATCGGGCTTCTCCAAGGGTCGCGAGCATCCATTCGATATGAGTATCCTACAGACCCAAGATGGAGACGCTATGACAGGCACACAGATTGGGAGGAACAACAGCCAGGAACGGATTATCATACCGGATGGGAAGATCTATGCTCATACGGAAATCGAGACGAATGTCGAAGTCAGTACGGAGTACTATACTCGCCCGATGCAGTCGTTTGACATTCCTCGGTCTCTGGGGACGCATAGTTCTTGAGAGAATAACTATACCCTTACTTTCTTCTACCTTTTGTCATTTATTCCTCGTTATTCAACTTCATATACCCTTTTCTTCTTCCTTCATTCACTTGGTTTCCTATTTTATTTCCCACTTACATACCTTCCCCTTATTTCTCTTACAGGGGAGCTTTCTTGATCCCCAATCACCCCCCTATTTTTTTAACGGCCCTTCAGAAAGTCTAGATGAATACCAACTAGAATGACCTCGGCAACAATTCTCAACGAATTTACCGCCGAATCTTGCAATAAACCAAGCGGGTAGACTAACTAACTCAAATAAAACCCCGTGATCGTCAAAGCAAATAATAGTTTAGTAGCAACTACTGAGAAAGCTAAACCTAACCCCCCGGCCGCAGTGGTGGTCTATCTATCATATGCGCACCACAGCAGACAAAGAATCAAAACAAGGATGACTGATATTCTGTGGCACATGATCTACCTGGCTGGGATGATGATTTGTCACTCCACTTCCTATTTCTTGATAGAAATCAAGTGGATCCATAGTGGATAGCAAGGTCAACCTTCTATCGAGACAATGGAGTTACATGGTGTAGAGACACCCATAATGGCGCATTATAGAATAACGAGAGGGCCAGTATGCAAACATTAATTATTCGGCTTTACCCGGCTTACTAGTAAATAGCCATCAGAGCTGGGCTAGGCTATTCTTGGGCATACCGTGAGGTAATAGGGCCTGATCTTGATGGATAGGGGAATCCTTAAGGGGCTGCGGACTGCAATTGCCAGACTATCCCAGATCCAGTCTACTGCGTAATGCACATTTGTAGTAGATAGTTTTGTCGGGGCACCGCTCGGGCGAAATTATCACCATCAATCAAGTTTGTGCTTATTTTCTGACGGGTTTGACACGGCTACTGTGAATGCTTGGCACGGAGTACTCCGGTGATGTGCAGGATTAGTCGCTGCGAGAGGTACTGTGCTGCTCCTGCACATCAGCAATAAGGCTTTTGTTCTCCCCCTCCATTATCTCTATCGGTGGCGTTTTCGAAGTACAAAGACTTCGCCACCAGTTCGTTCAGAATACTGCTTTTTATTTTCTTTTTCTTTTTCGTGGCAATACGTACTTTTCCGAACGTGAGCGATCTCGGATGAAATTACTTAATCATGATTTATTGTCTGCCCCCTTCCTTTTTCTTTTTCTCTTAGGGCTCGGAAAAACTGAAAGTATGATGGTTGCTTTCTTTTTCCTTTCAAATCGATTCATTGTGACAATTTACTAAAAGTGCTACTTACTTTTGAGGTCAGCTCCACTTGGTGACAGATGGGTCCGTCGGGCAACTTACAGGACCCGCAATCTGGAGATGCAGTAAGTGGTTGCCTTCAATTTGGATGCTCTGTGCTTTGAGAGGTGCCTTTGTGAGCTGATGCAACTTACTACTAATTGCTGTACTAAGTATTCCTTTTGGTTGTCGGCTGGCTGGTGGGTTGTTGTGTTTGGATATTCGGACTTTTAGTACTCTCTCTGCCTGCCTGCCTAAGTTTTGGTCTCCGTGGTGTGAACGTACTCTGGATGCCTTGAATGCAATCAATTACGAATGTGCCTTGCTTGTTCTATACTATACCTCATTGATTTGGTTGTGTTACAATACAGAATACTCCATCCCTTCAATCAAGCTTATTTCCATGTTTATGATGGCGTTTGATATAGTTCTGGCCTTGGATCGAGAGATGGAGATGTAGTTTGTTTGGATGATTTAAGATGTTTTCCATGAGTGCAGACGGCATATCCCCGGATTACAGTGGTGATGTAAGTTCCTTTTGAGGAAGACCCGGAATCAAGACTGGGAGAAGACTAAACAACTGTGCCCCTGGAAGTATGGCACCCATGCCCTGTAAGCAGATGCTAAGCACCGGGTTAACCAAGATTTACGCAAAGGTTAACCTTGATGGAGGCAAATGGTTCTACCTATACATATAGTAGTGATTACCTTGTCGCGCGTGATGTCTGTCGGTCGACATCTGGATCTACACCGAATACACTTTGCTCGTGAAGATACAGTTCTCGAATCATGGGCCCTCCCTCAGAAAAAACCAAGGCTCAAATCAGCCAGATCCTCACCGGGGTCGAACACATCACTCGGCACAACCAAGACCCCTACAAGGTGAAGATAGAGAACTTCATCGGCTATACGCACGTTCCAATTGGATTAGCTGGGCCGCTACACATTCGGACGCCCACAGGGCCCGACAAGGAGATCTGGGCGCCCATGGCCACCACTGAGGCGGCGGTAGTCGCCAGCTGCTGTCGCGGATGCAAGGTTGCCAATGCCTCTGGTGGTATTGAAGTCCACATGGGGGAGGAGGGCATGACGCGCTGCCCGGTCTTTCGCTTCCAAAATCCCGGAGATGCGTTGCGATTTGCGCGCGCGCTGCCTACCCTCCAGGCATCGTTCAAGGAAGTGGCGGAGAGTACCAGCAAGCATGCTCGCTTACAGAGCCTAAAACCGCATACGATCGGCCGCTCTGTCCATCTGCTTCTGAGCTACACTTGCGGAGACGCGTCAGGCCAGAACATGGTGACTATAGCTACAGATCGGATCTGTGACTGGGTATCGAAGAACCTAGAAAAGGAATATAAGGTTGTGGACACACTTGTAGAAGGCATGCTATCCTCGGACAAGAAGCCATCTTGGAGGAATGTGGCCGTTGTCCGGGGTGTCGAGACCGTGGCCTGGACAGCTCTATCCGACTCAGCATGTGAGCGAGTCTTAGGCTGCTCATCCGCACAGTTGTATAATTTCATTCAGACGACCCAAGAAGCGGGGATTCGGAATGGTGAGCATGGCAGCAATATCGACTCCGCCAATATATTGGCAGCCATTTTCATTGCCACGGGTCAAGATCCGGCGTGCGTCGCGGATGCTTCGTGGGCACATCTGACGCCGGAATACGATCAGGCGTCCAAGACAATAACGTTGAGCCTGTATTTCCCCTCCATGCCTGTAGGGGTAATCGGCGGGGGCACGTCATACGCGACACAGCAGGAAGGCTTGCGGATCATGCAGTGCAATGAACCCGGCGGTAAGCGACGCCTGGCTGGGTACATTGCTGCGTTTGCTCTGGCGTTGGAGATCAGTACGGCTTCTGCTGTGGTGACGAAGACATTTGCTCGCAGTCACGAGCGGTTAGCACGTTGGGAGGCTAGTGAGAGGCCAAGGTCCAAAATGTGAGACACGTCAGTTAGTAAAAGGGGGGGGGGGGGGGGGGTGGAGGGAAATGGATGTATAACAATTCCAGTTTAGTATAGACTAGGCGGAGGAGACAGTAGACAGAAGTAGATAGAAAGTACTACCAAGATGAGTGAAGATTGTCCCGAGAGTGCCTGTATCTATACCACTTCGCTATTAGAAGACGGAAAGACGGAATTTGATGATCTTCAGTAGATGGAGCTGTATTATTCCACACAACTCTATGGACTGGTCCATATGGTGCAGTAGATTGAAGTTCACTTCTTTGACCTTCTTTGTTTTCATCCGGACAGTCATGTGATGCCCGTTGTGTGGTCCGGGTGCTGATTCAGCCAACAGCCAATCAAAAGTCAATAAAAGGGCACGGCCGAGCGATGAACGAAGAGTGACCGATCGACGGACCCAGTAAAAAGAAGGGAATCGACATCACTGACTGACTGCATCCGCTGGTCCTCCCCAAAGTACTTTACTTCTTAAAGCATCGGCTTCCTCTTTCGTGTCCTCCTTTCCTCGCCCCTCTCCTCCTGGTTTACACTCCAAACTTTCCTTTGTTCATTTGGCAATACCTGGACGGCCTGCACGGCCGGACAATGCTAACAACATTCTCCAGTCCCTGTTTCAACTGACCCCATACCCTCCAAACCAGAAACTCGCCTCCGCCCTCCCTCCCCGACGCCCCCATTCTCAATGGCAGATCTCTCCACTTCCTCCGGTCGGGATCCCGACTCCGACTCTAGAGAAGCAAACCACGTCCTGTCCCAGCATCTGCACCCTCAGTTCACTGCCTCCCTCCAGGATGAGCTGACTGCACCCCCCGCCGAGCCCCCAGCCGAGCAAAGTAGCGGTGATGCTCCGTCCGAACCCCAATCCTCCCTGAGGCTGCAAGGCGGCGACATCCATCGAGACTTGTACCGCCTCGACGCTAAATCAAAAATTGCTCGCCTAGACAAACGGGCGGCCACGTTCTCCTTCCTTCCGAGACGCACAGATGATGTGGTGGAGGAAGGCGTGGCAGCCATGGAGCCGGGGAGCTTCCGCCGTCACTTCGTTCAGAACAAGTACGGTCGGCTCGACCAACCGGGCGTAACCTCGTCCTTTCTCGATTTCCTAGATATTTATGGCAACTTTGCGGGCGAGGATCTGGCCGACACGGAGGAGGAATCAGCCATCGTCGAAGAGGAAGAAGAAGAGGATGAGACGAGGCCGGTGTCCGAACGAACTGCCCTCTTGCGGCGACGGCGGAGCTCACGAGCCAGCCGCCCAGGCGATGCTTCCAACGTCAAGACCTTTTTCACACTCTTGAAGGCATTCGTGGGAACGGGAATCATCTTCCTACCCAAGGCCTTCCGCAACGGCGGAATCCTGTTTTCCTCCATCACCCTTGTAACAGTGTCGTTGATCAGTACCTTGTGTTTCCATCTGTTGCTGGAATGTCGGAGACACTATGGTGGTGGCTATGGCGACATTGGTGAGCGGATCGGTGGCACCCGACTTCGGACGTTGATCCTCGCATCCATCGTAATCTCGCAACTGGGCTTCGTGTGTGCTTGTATCATCTTCACCGCGGAGAACATCCATGCCGTACTGGAAGCGGTGACAAAGGACCCGGGCACAGCTTTGTCAACCGGTAAATTAATCGCCGTACAACTGCTTGTGCTCATCCCACTGTCCTTGATCCGAAACATCTCCAAGCTGGGCCCCATCGCGTTGCTGGCGGATGTCTTCATCCTCGTAGGCTTGGCGTACATCTACTTCTATGACATTGCCAGTCTCGCGTCCCGTGGTCTGGCGTCGTCGGTTGAACTCTTCAATCGCCAATCGTTCACCCTGACCATCGGATCGTGTATCTTCACCTTT